TAGGACTACCTGTATAAACTTAATGTAGCAACAATTTTATTGTCTAAAATATTGCCTAAAACTTAAGAAAAGTTCCTGGGAGATGGGCAGCATATAAATTTAATACATCATACTCATCATCTATTGCAACCAGATTAAATAAATATAAAATTGTGACACTTTTAATACACTCACATTCTTATTATAACCGTTATAACTATCTTAGTTATTCCTTCTGGATTACAGAGCAAGGTGACTTAATTAATACCCTTGAGTGAATTTATGTAAAGATAAGATTTGAACCAGGGACTTCCTGCTCAATCCCTGAGCAATTATGTTATTGATTTTAAAATACTTGGTGAGTGTTTTTAATTCAATCATTTTCAGGAACCTTTTAATTATATCCTAGATGTTCTGAATATGTTTGCTGTAGTCATGCATGCAATTGAGTTTGAACACTTCTTGTTTTCTTAAATGAATTTTTCAAAAAGATAAGTATCTTGGAGGATTCTGCCCTGCATTCAGTTAATCTTTTTTAACTTCAAAATCCAAGCAGCCACCTCAAGTTGTAGCTATCCATTCATTAGTAGGGAGTTATGTTGAGTTGAGATGTCATATGACTGCACCAAGTTATAATGGCAATCTCAGCTCTTCTCTTAGCGATCCTTAACTGAGAATTGTGGATTGTTAAGCAAGTACCCACCCTAATCCAAACCGTTCCAGGCTTGGCCCCTCCCAGCTCCATGGCTAAGTATGATAAGGGATTGATTCCAGTACCCACTACCTGCCTGTTCCCTCCAGCAAGCATTCTCTCATCCAGTTGCCTTCTCCCCAGCCCAGCCCAGGAACACCAACAAAGCAGTCTTCTCTCCCCAGGAACACCAACAAGCAGTCTTCTCTCCCCAGTCCCACATGGTTCTCCAGCCCAGCTCAGCAAGCATTTGTTCACCCAGCTGCCTTCTCTCCCAGTTCCATGCACCAACCTTTTGCCTTTTTGGACCCATCCACTTCTCTGCCTTTTTTCCTTATTTCCAAAGATAGTGCTGTCTTTAGAAAGCTGCACTGTCTTTGGAATGCTTTGTTCCAAAAACAGCATAGCTTTCTGAAGACAAAACAGCCTTTGGAAAACTGCTGACTTCCAAAGGTGCTCTGGGGAAGCGATAGTGAACTGGGGTGGACCTCGGTAATAAGAGGAGCCAGTGAGTGGGTCAACTCCTCAGAACTTATCTCCGAATCAAGGAGAGGACTAGGATCACTCACATGTTTGCTCCATATAAAGCCTGCTCACGAAGAGATCGTGAAATAGAGCCCAGAGTTGCCTTTATGAGGGAGATGGGTGGTTTCTAAATATAAATAAAAGTTTAAAAAATAGTGATCTCCAGCTTGATTGAGAACTCTGGGACCTGGGAGAAAATCATCCAAACCTATGTATTGTTGATGAGGAAAGCCATTCTAGAAGCATTAATACTATCTCATTTGGACCCAAGAGCTGCTTTTCAAGAAAAGATTAATAGCTTATAAATTTGGTGTGTACCCAGCAAAGTACGGTAACTTGTTTTATATACTTCTCATAAATGTTATCTAGTTGGTATTGTACTCCAGGTCATAGAACTTTTTTTGCTCTTAGAAGCAACAACAACTAAAAAGAATACTACCTTATAATTACAGTGGGTATCTTGTTTAGTGATGTCTTGTACATTTTAAGATTTTTCATCTTTAAAGGATTGATTTTGCAACAATATCCACTAATAATTCTGCATATAATTAAATATGTACTTTGATTAAATTATTTGGAAAAAAATACCTAGAATCAAGTTTGAAAAATATTACACATCTGACTTCTTTTGTATGGCTTGTATTTATGAAACTTCCTAATTTCAGTCAGTGATTCAGTAAAAAATAGTTTGAATTTCAATTCCGTCTTGGAAACAAATAAAAGATCTTCAACTATCAGCATGCAGAAAGTTCTGCAACTTCTGGGGAGATCTTCAACAATTCCATACCAACCAACCTGCTCCAGATGGGTTCGCTTCAGGTTTGTTGGAATTATATCTTTCAATGAGCAGTCACATTTTGATTGGCATCACTTGGGGATTGTTCTTTTATATCAATAAACATATTCAGAAGCATGTGGCATTGCAATCAGAGCTGTATAGCTAAAGATATATATACAGAGAGAGAGAGATAGACAGAGATGCACTTACACATACATAGCTAGATAATAGATAATAAGTAAATATCTTCACTTAATTATGTTCTTATTCAGGGCTGCAGCCAACAGACCAAACGGTGCCTTATTCTGAAATGCCTTGAGGAGATAAATTATTCCTCCTTTCCTCCCTCTAAGTTTTCTGTGATATATTTCCATCTAGAACAATTTAATTTGAAGTTCTGTTAGCCTCGGAATTTCCCAAGCATATGAATACCTTCCACCTTGTTTCTCAGTAGCCTTGCTTTGACTCAATCTCTGTTAGCATAGGGCATGAGTTTACTGTTTAAAAAGGCATAATCTATAAATGAGAATACCATGACCCTCAGAGAAATACAACCATAAAAGGTAACGTGTGTGGAGGAGGGGGGGGGTATCTCTCTCTGAGAAAGAGAGAGAGGAAAATATAACCATTACAGCCTCTTACATTGTACCTTTGAGCAGATTGCAGGGTTTTATACTTTATTACATTATTGCCCTTGAAATTGAACTGCATTTATAACATGTAAAATATGTATTTTTAACACTAAAATGTAATTTTCCAACATACTATCCAAAATAAAGTGCCAAGAAGCTATTAACTGCAAATTGAATTTTTGTGGTATGTAATTTAGTTTAAGTAGCGACAAGTATTTTTCTCTTTCTCTTCCCCCCCCCCCCCAAGAAAGAAAGAAATCCATTAGTCATTCAGTTTAACAGCACAGAGGCAGCAGTCAGCAAGGGTGTGCATTCTGTGTCTGCTTCAATTGCACACTTCATTTATTTGAACATGGCATAGGCGGCTTTCTCTGTCATGCAGCAACACTACACTATTAGCGAGTTTCGCCCCAGGGCAGCTGGGACGCTTTGCTGGGGCAGATGTTCTTTTCAGCTTATTCACTGGCTGTTCTTGGTTGTTTACTGTTGTCATGACAACGTCTATTTCCATAGCAGCCATGTGGCCTCCTCTCAGAGACTAAGGAATATAGTTATAAAAGAATCATATTTTGCTCTGTGTCTCTTACTTACCATCTGTCAACTAACTGCATGTGATGGATTCAAAAACTGATTAAGGATAATGGCAAACCCTCTGTGATAATTTATTAGAAGTAAAACTGGGCCTTATGCAAATGTCTTTGTTGCCTTCAGGGGGCCTCTGTTTTTTTATATACATATTTTTGAGCTCTATACTGATGCAGATTTTTCCTTTATTAACCCTTGCTGATGGGTGGTGGTGGAGTCCCAGAATTTATATGCAAAGAGGTAAAGTCTCTTTCAAGTGAAGATCAACCTCTGGTGTATTCAGAAACACATTAGTGCAGTTTTTAACAATAGTAGCATGTATATAATTATTTAAATTATTTGGCTCATATTCCACCTTTATCACCCATCTCTAATAAATATGGCTTGATAAGACAGCAATCAGTTTAGCCATTGTGCACTAATAAATTGCAGTACTGCATAGTGCAGCTCTTTTAACTTGCATTTGGACAAAAACTAGGTGGTTAGAGGTATTAATGATGCACATAGGTGTATCATTTCTGACATAGCTAATTAATATGATAAGATATATCATAGCTCACAAACCTTAATACACACACACACACACACACTCACACTCACATATACCAAAAGGAAATCATTTTATGACCTAGCACAATGTATGAAGCAAATCAGTGTTATAGGAGAGAGTCTTGTGGAAAACGAAAGGACTTTTACGAATTCCAGAGGGTTTTAGCAGAGAGATTTATTGCGCAGGTTCAGAAGCAATAGAGCAGTGGTTCTCAACCTGTGGGTCGGGACCCCATTTGGGGTCGATCAACCATTTCACGGGGGTCGCCAAGCAAGGCTGTCCGCCATTTTTTTTGTCCGCCATTTTTTCCCCTTTTCCGGCGGGTGCCTTACCTCCCTTGGGCTGGGCCAGCTAGTGGTTGGCCTGCTCCGTCTCTGCCGCTTGCCAGCTATGCCTCGGCCGGCGCAGGGGGCGGAACCACGCATGCGCGGCGCTCCTGGGCAGGGAAAATCCTCGACTTACGACTGGTTGGGTAGTCCTCGACTTACGACCGGTTTAGTCCTCGACTTACAACCGGTTTAGTCCTCGACTTACGACCGGTTGGGGTCGCGGCATTAAAAAGGTTGAGAACCACTGCAATAGAGACAAGCATTTCTGAACCCTGAGGGCGGGTTCAAACTTCAGTTTTATACTTTCCTTTTCTCAGGAACAAAGGAATACACATTGAAATACCCATTGTAATACATTAGGTTTGTTTCTCACGGGTATACAATGGAGGGTTTGCTACGTACATTGTATCCATGTGCAATGTGCATTAGGTTAGTCACATATTACTGACACAGAATTTTCCTAGTGATTATGCATTATTCCTGACACATCATTATTCTAGTAATTATGCAGACAAATCATTATTTTGTAATTGTTCATTATTCCACATTAAGAGGAATCTGACTAGATCTCAATTGTTAAAAAAAACAACTTACCTACATATTTGAGAGGATTAAGACACATTGCAGACAGACCCCTGGCAATTTAAAGTCTTAAAAGAATCAGCTTTGAGGTACCCTAAGACACTGTGTGAATGTGAAAGCAGTAAAGCCTGACAGATACATCTCTGCAAAAATTAAAAGAAACTATATCATAGATACATTGATAAGCAGAATTGTGACAGTATGCCCGTTTGTTTTCTGTGTTGGTATTAGGACTTTTCACCGTTCTTGTTGTTGATTTTGCTAGAGAGATTCACTTCATTCTGTCAAGTCATGGGGATGGGAATTGGCCCGTTTGTAAAGTAATGTATTTATTGGTTGATTTTTCCAGATCCTGACATTGATGCTGCCACTGCCATGATGCTTTTGAATACTCCCCCTGAGATACAAGCAGGTTGTGAGTAGATATTTATATAGCCTATAGCTCCATAGATATGTAAGCCTAACTCTCTTTCATTAGTACAAAGCCTATTAGGTTTAAAAATAAAACTAGATGAAGAAATCAGATTTTTAGCTAGACCCTTACTAACTCTTTTACATAGTATTATCTGGGTAGATGTTCAGATAGGCTTTTGTAAATATTGCATAGTCACAGTTGTATATATCTCATTCACAGAAATAACGATCTATATATGCAACTGTAATTCATATAATAATAGCATGATAAGCATTTTTTTTCTTTAGGGCAGATAAGAGTTTTAGAGCCAACAGCTTTGATTTTTATTTGAATTTATTTGCGGGGATGTCTGTACAAGCATCAGGTGTTTTTAGAGATCAAAACCTGAAGCAGAAAGAAGTAAAATATATATAGTCTACCGGAGTTACATTTGAATTAATCAGTTTTTTAAAAATAGAAAGGTGGATTTATCATAAGGAGAGCTAAACAGAGTTTAAAAAAAACAAGAGAAGCTGTAGTTTCCTAATCCAGTTATTTACTCTCATATTGGAATGTATTTTACATAGAAAAGATTTCTTATCAGATTAGAACTTCATTTTTACCCATTTTTAATAATTGGTACCTATTCTTACAATACAGAGCCAGTTTGGTGAAGTATTAAACATTTTAGTCACAGAACCAGCTAGGTGACGTGGGCCACTCCTTCCTTCTGGGCCTTGAAAGAAGGCAATGGCAAACCACATTCAAAAATGCTCTCTAGAAAACCTAATGGATGTATCCCTGTCTAACTTGAAACTAAAACACAAAACATACAAAAAACAAAACCTCAAAGTACATTTTTTCTGCATATCATCAGATCCAACTGTTTCTAAACCTATGTGAAAAAATAATATACGAACTAGACTCAAGAAGAGAGAGAGAGAGAGAGAGAGAGAGAGAGAGAGAGAGAGAGAGAGAGAGAGAGAGAGAGAGAGAGAGAGAATCTATGCATATAATTTTGTGGTTCATTATCCACCACAGTGCTTCATAGTCATTTTGTGGGCAATTATGAAGTTGTTACCAGCACATTTTAAAGGTATACTACTAATTACCCATCATGAGTTCCTCTCACAGTATTAAATTGGAGGGTACATCCATTGACATGGAAGCAAGGCATTATATAATAGGTGGCCAACTGAAATTTCCACCAACAATATTCTTCACTTTGGTTTTTAAGCTGTATTTTGAGTCTTTCATTAACTTTACTGGAACCACTAAAATAATAGTTATTAACTATCAAGAACTATCATAATATATGTGCTATAACAAATAGACTGGTATGCAAGTTGATTCTCCCTTTTCTAAAACATTATAAGGTAGCAGAAGGCAGCAGAAGAAGCAATGGATGGAAACTAATCAAGGAGACAACTAGCCTAGAAATAAGGAGAAATTTCCTGACAGTGAGAGCAATTAATTAGTGGAATGGTTTGCCTTCAGAAGTTGTGGGTGCTCTGTCATTGAGGTTTTTAAGAAGAGGTTTTTAAGAAGAGGCCACTTATCTAAAATGGTATAATTCTGTGAAATTGGTTGGGCAAAGAATAATGCCTGGTCCAAGGTCATCCTATAAGCTGTATTTCTTTCTCCTAGTCCATCATGACTATCTCTCACTGATTTTGTCTTAAATCTATAAACATATCTTCAGAATGGTAAAGAATTATCATTAATAAAACAGAAATTAAGTTGAATATTGTCTTAATCAATATACAAAGGACCATATCAGAGAATTAAAGTCTTAATAATAAAAAAATATTCCATAATAAATCTGCCTTTTAAAATGTCATAAAGAAAAAAGTATGATGGCAGAAGCAACTGAATAATTTCAGTGCCATAAAATGCTCCATAGCATAAAATGCTATTGATATATTATTAAATGGGAGATTGTTCTGAATATAATAAATAGATTTACTATTTTTATGTTTGAAGGTGTCAGAGAATATAATCACTATATATGTGTGGCCATCCAAAATAAAACAAGAATGAACCAAATTTCTGCAATGTCAGAAAGTTTTTCATTGCAGAACCAAAACTAACAATAAATGTAATTGGTTCATTTAGAATATTTTTCTATATATCTCAACAAGTAATTATCCAACTTATACAGAACCTCATACAGCAGGTATACATTAGCTGCTTGAACAGAGATTTAAATTTCACTGGAATGCTCTATTTGAGTTTGATGATATATTTATATTTTTTCAACATTTTAAACAGAAATACAGTATGGTATTCCATATAAATCTGTAAACAATCACCAGTTGTTTATTAAAGTTTCTTGATAGTGACTAGTATAAAAGACATTATCTTCATGAAACTTATCTTTCCCTATATAGAGATTTGATTTCTCTCAGTTTGTAGAATCTGTCTCCATTAAGCTCTGCATATGAAAGATAATCAAACAGTAGAATGGATTAATTTACTGGGAGATCAGGATTCCATACTGCTATTTAATTGTTGCCTTCAATGCATATGATAAGGTATTCTATGTTCTTTGAGTTGGAGCAATTTGGGAACAGACATTTTGGGTTTGGACAAGCTAAGTATTATAAGGCTCATTTTCCAAAGTTTGCATTTGGCTTTTCTGATCTCTGTATGATTGTGATTGACTTATTGGTTTCTATGGAGAAACATTTTCACTTCCTTATATTTTCTCATATATTACCTATTGATGTTTCCATGTTTAAGAATATTCTGCATCTAAATCAGCTGTTGAGACAGATTAAGATTGCTTGCAGTATCATAGAGGGATTTCTGGAGATACAAATATATGATGTGAGTTAGACTACATTTTAGGTAGGCACATACCCAATTTATGTTTCTTTTTTTACTTACATTGGCTGATGTTCATATGAAGCCACTGCATTTAATAATGTTTTATATCCAAATGAAATTCTGGGGGAGTTAAATTTCTGTGGCCTAAAATCAGATCTCTGTTCTGTCATTTTTATTGGACCAAACTTTACTGTGAAATAGTCCAAGCACCAGTCCAACACAAGAATTCAACTGAAGTTGCCCACTTCCATTTTTTTTGTTTAATTTGACAGTAGGACCAGTAAATCTGCAAAATAGGGACATATTAAAAATGGGAAATCTGTGTACTTTGTCCACACTTTTTAACATTAGCTTCTGGAATTATTTAATATGAGCATTCTCTATTATTAATATAATGGTTAACAGTTAACAAAAACTAAAAATGAAGTATGACATCATTAAAAAGGCCTTAATTTTACTTAATGAGCTCTTCATTGTGTCTAATGAAGGGCATCAAGACAAAAGCTTCTGATGGAAATCTTAACATTTGGACAGATACCAGATCGCTGGGATTTTTGTCCCTAAAATCAGTGAAAATATGGGAAAGGATATATCAGTGTTTTCACTCTGATATTCTTTAAAGTAAACATATAAAGTATATTCTCTATTGGACTTTTGCCCATTAATAACGTTTGCAAGGACAGATATGAGCATGCATGTATGTCCAATAAAATATGTTCTAAAGTTGTGCCATAATATTCAGATAAAAGTTTTAATGGTTTTCTGACTTATTTTTTAAGTAAAGTTTAAATTATTGCTTAGTACAGATTACATCTCTGTCCCTTTTATGAAAAAAATGGATTCAGAAGGTAAAGGTAAAAGAAGAACCTCTTTCAACCATCATGGTTAATTCTGCAGTGGGATTCTTAGTGGGATTCCTAATGATTTGAATAATACAAAATCAAAGTGTGGAATATTTAAGTTTGCAAAGCAAAGCTATACCTTTTATAGCCTATTCATCCTTCCCATATGTATGACCATATTTGAAGCATTAACCCAAGGTTGGTTGCAGTAAATCTGTTAAGTCATAATTCATAAAGCTCCATTACCAGAGAAAAGTTATAATGGGCATATCTTTATATTATATGTTGTGTTCTTAGATCTGACTAGACAACCTGTGCCTTGGTGGGTCATCATTTCAGAGATATTTCCTTACCAGAATGCCTTCAACAACAGTTTCTAATGTAGTGCCTTCACTTGAAAAGCTGTATGTGCCTTGAAAACAGCTGAGGTTGATTGTGTCAGACAGTCAAATATCAGCACAGAAAAAGACATTTTGTATTACATTATAAACTTGGATTTTGGATACATGCTGTAAGTTAGTCCATTTGAGGTATCTTGGTTCAAAAGGTTTTGCCCTATGGTGCACTGTTTCATTCAGTTAAAGATTACAGGAATGAGAGTTTCACAGACAGACAGACAGACAGACAGACAAGACAAGACAAGACAGACTTGCCACATGCAGAATAACGCAAACAACTGAGATAGGATCCTGGTCCAGTAGATCCACAACTACAAGAGTTGATGAGAAAAATAGTAAGAGATAGCACAGCTAGAACTGACTGCCAAGGAATAAAAAGAAATTAAGCAAATGCAAATAGAGATAGAGTTCCTGCCTTACCCTTAGATTGATTTAGGAATTTTTCTGGCATATTCCTCCATGCACCTCCCAGCTGTCAATATTTGAACACATTGTTTTGTGTTTCCTTACCAAAGGGATTCTTTCTAAAAAAAAGCACAGTATATTTATAGGCAAGACCCGAATTCCAATTTTTTGAAAAATATTGTGCTATGAAGCTAGGCAGAGATTTTTCCAAACCCATGTCTTTCCAGATATTTTGCTCTACAACTCCCCTTTTACTTGATTTTGTGGTATGCCAGTTGAGGTTAGATTCTCTTTCATTTCTGTCCTATGAAAAATGATAAAGTAACCATTCTCAGGGAAATATAATGACCCCAAATGAGACAAAATCAAGTTCTTTTTAAAGTAGGGTTAGTCAACCTGGAGATTTTCAAGTGATTTGGGTTTCAGTTTCCTTTCAGCTTAACCAGTTTATCAAATAGAAGTGCACTGTGGAAATTGGGAGGAGACATGACATTGTCTAGCCCCAATCTAGAATTTGCTTCAGTGTAATGACAAAATAGACTTTACT